CTTGCCCCAGAATTTGGATGACCTCATCAATAAATAGGCTTCCAGGAGCTTAAATTAGAAAATAATCCTTTCCACACGCACTCATTCTCTGAATGGTGCTAGGGATACAAGACAAGGTCCCTGCTTTCAAAAAGCTCACAGTCTAGCCTCTAGCAGGAATGGCACATAGAAAAAGAACTATCCCTTCATTTGCTCAGGACTGTTAGGACCCAGGGCAAAACGTGGAAGGTTTACCAGACATTGCGGAAAGAACATTGGTCTGCAGTCCAGCCTGTGTTCAAATCTCTGCCCTGATACTTACAAGTGGTATGCTCCTGGGTGAGTAACACATTTTCTTAGCCTCAGCTTCCTCATCTGAAAATGAAGGGGAGAATCTTTCTTTCAGTCATTTTGAGGATTAGACTTAATCCATGTAGAGTGTCTGGCTTCCTGTAGATGTCCAGTAGCTGCTATTATTAATAATATTGGAATGATGTCTGGGCCACACTCTGAAGAGTTAAGCACTAGGGTCAGTTGGGGGGAAATAGGGGAGAGACGGTGGGGGGTGGGGAGTTGGGGAGAGATAGCAAGGGGAGAGATGCCAGATGTAGGTGACAGGGAGGAAGGCAGCAAATCACACTGCCACGTGTGTACCTATGCAACAATCTTGCATGTTCTTCACATGTACCCCAAAACCTAAAATGCAATAAAATAAATAAATGGGAAAAAAAAAAAAAGAAATTGAGCAGATAGATGAAGCAAAAGGTTGGCCTTGGCAGAGGCCCAGGGGGAAGTAAAGTTCCTGGTGGTGAACCAGGAATTTTGGAGAACATTGAGTTATGAGAGAACCCTAAAAATGTAGCCTGGGACAGTTGGTAAAGAACACTCCATTATGTGTCACAACAAAGAGTTTACATTTTGTTTTGTATGTTCAGGAGGAGGGATTTATTTTACTTTATTTTTTATTGAGATGGAGTCTCACTCTGTTGCCCAGGCTGGAGTGCAGTGGTGAGATCTCAGCTCACTGCAACCTTTGCCTCCCAGGTTCAAGCGATTCTTCCACCTCAACCTCCTGAATAGCTGGTGATTACAGACATGGACCACCATCCCAGCTAATTTTTTTGTATTTTTAGTAGAGATGGGGTTTCACCATGTTGGCCAGGCTGGTCTTGAACTCCCGACCTTAGGTGATCCACCCATCTTGGCCTCCCAAAGTGTTGGGATTAGAAGTGTGAGCCACCGTATCCAGCCAGAGGAAGGACTGAATTTTTTAAACTAAATTATCTGATAAAATATTAGGAACCACCTAATGGTGTATTGCTCAGTACAACCAGGCAAATTAATTAGGTTTGAAGATTGAAAGTGAGTTGTGCAAAATTGAGAGGAAGCATTAGGTGCAGCTGGGGCCTGAGAGCCTGGGGAATCTGGCTAGGAGTTGGTTTCCTGGCATAGACACTTTCTTACTCACAGCAGACGCCCAGACACTCGGGATTCTCCACTTTTACGGCCGCCAATCCCAGCCCTTCTAAACTTAGAACACACTGTGGGTGTCTGATTTCATGAAATCGTCTCTGTCTTTAAAACATTGCTCAGGAATTTTAAACATTTAAGTGAATATTAATATGGGACATTTTAAAGTGAGTCCCTTTGAAGGTTAGTAATTCCTGTCAGAAAGAGAAAAGGATGTCCCATGACTGTGCTGTGTGACACTTTGTGTAACAGCCCTGATGGAGAGGCTAGGATGAGGCAGACCCAGAAAAAAAAATGAAGGGGGGCAGGAATCTGAAGCCCCAAGTAACCATTCCTTGACCTTGGGCCACTTATTAGTTGGAAGAGTGTTTTCATCTTCTTCTCAATCTCTGTAATACTCAAAGCTATTCTGGGACTATGAGTCTATTTCTATTTATACTTACACTTTCTAATATTGTTGGAATCTAAGAATTGATGTATAAGAAGGTAAATGAATATACTACTATACTACACCCTATGCTTATACTTTTGAGATACAAGAATTAAACCTAAAAGTCTTCTTTTTTGAGTGTAACATATCAATAAAGTTTCTTTTCAGCATTTCATATATCGTTTTTTTATAGCTAGGTAACACAGTTACTTTCATCACCACTTAATCTGTTTTTTAAATGCTAGCTGGGCATGGTGGCTCCTGCCTGTAATTGTAGAACTTTGGAAGGCTGAGGCAGGAGGGTGGTTTGAGGTCAGGAGTTCAGGACCAGCCTGGGCAACATAGCAAGACCCCAGCTCTAACAAAAACCAATACTCTCAGAGGGCTCTAATAAACACAGCTGTGCTGTATTAGACAGAGAGACATCAGTAGGAACTCACATTTCCATTAGTGTGTATGCAGGTAGATACAGAAATAACTCTAGATAAGTGTACAGACGTGGATGGTTATATGTATGTGTACTTCCTAGCTCTGTGAGAAGGCCTGGGAGCAATGATATCTCAATAGCAGTGAACACCCCAGCACCCAGATCTTGGTTTCTAAATACCATTCTCCAGTTAAAAGAACCAAAACTCCACTCTTTAGGGAAATGAACAGTTCTCGGGCTGGCACAGGCAACATAAGAGGTGAATCTGGAGCATGTTGTAATGCCAGAAAGGAAGGAATTGCTAAAAGGAAGAAAAAAACGATGAGAGCACATCAGTGGGGCCCGAGGGTCAGCTGGAAAGAGTTCCTGATGGCCAAAGCTGGAACACTGGGAGCAGCAACATAAATAATAGTATCAGGTTGTGACCCAGAGTTTAAAATAAATGTGCAGGAGTCCGTGCTGATATCAGTAAGTGATTGACTAAATAAATAAGGGCAAATCTTCCTTACAAGAGAACTCCAAATAATCTATGTAGATACTCCCCCATCTGCAAGGTGGAACTTAGTTACCCTCTTGTTGTTGGGACCAGACTTAGTGACTTAGTTCCACGAATGGAAAGAGAAAAATTGTAACTTTACAGTAGAGAAGTGTAGCAGACTTGCCTTTACCAAATGGTGGAGGCTGCCTTCACCAGGACTCACGAGGGACGCTCTGATAATGGAGGTGATGAGCAGGGCGCCTCACCTCTGATACTCTTTCTAAAACCCGGAACCCAGTCTAAGGATTAGAAAACATCAGGCAAACCTAAATTGAGGGATGCCTACAAAATACCTGACCGGTATTCTTTAAAACTGTTCAATTTTTTTTTTTTTTTTTTTCCGATGCAGTCTCACTCTGTGGCCCAGGCTGGAGTGCAGTGGCACAATCTCCACTCACTGTAAACTCTGCCTCCCAGGCTCAAGCAATTCTCCTGCCTCAGCCTCCTGAGTAGCTAGGATTACTGGCACGGGACACCATGCCTGGCTAATTTTTGTATTTTTAGTAGAGACAGGATTTCACCATGTTGGTCGGGCTAGTCTTGAACTCCTGACCTCGTGATCCACCTGCTTCGGCCTTCCGAAGTGCTGGGATTACAGGCGTGAGCCACTGCACCCGGCCCGGGGCCGCAGTTCTTGAAATGTGGCCCTAGACCAGAAGCATCAGCACCACTTGGGAACTTGTTAGCAATGCAAATTGAGTCTCACTCAAACCCACTGGATCAAAAACTCTGGGAATATGACCCAGCAGTCTGTTTTAAGAAGCCCTCCTAAAATTTGAGAACCATTGGTCTAGAGGAATGGTCACTGGGATGAGCAGAAGCCCCCATCCAGGGCAGCACACAGCCTCCAGCAGGGAACAGGCGGGTGGGTCACATACGGAGACTACCACTGGAAGGGAAGCTGAGACTCATACCCGCACCAGAAGTAAGACATTATTCAGACCCCATTTTGCCTGAGTCTTTAGATCCAGGAGTTATGGGACTTACCCAAGGGGGTTAAGAGTTGGGGAACCTCAGCCCAGTTGCCACTTTATTTTGTATCTTTTGATACAGCCAATTTGGTACTTTCTTGTCTGTCAAAGGATTTTTTTTTTTTCTTGCGTTCACCTTTTCCTATTTTGCCGTCCTTTTCTACACCCTCAGAAAGTTTATAGTTTCTCTGGGAAGGATATGGCTGATAGCTCAGTGCAATTCTGGGTCTAAGATTCACTTACACGCCCCCCAGGATATAAACTATATATATGTATAGCCTTCTATGTGGCCACAAATGTTCTCTCATTTTTCCCACTTGAAGGTAGGGTATCATTGCAACTAACTTTTGTAAAGTTTGCATTGATACTTAGAAGGCTCTAACTAGATGGCTCCTTATACTGTTTTTTACCAAAGCATATTTGTAGAAATATTATGTAAGTTTTTATTTTCTTGGATGAAATGCTTAGGATGGTCACCGTCTGTCTCTGGATTATGCGTTTGTCATCCTCATGTCTTCAACAGGAGGCCAACCTGGGCCACCAGAAGCAGACCTCTGCGCACCTCTCTTTTCTGTACCCTTGCCCAGAGTTCACTCACTGCAACAAATACAGAGCATCTTTTCTGTGACGAAGCAGGAACTTGTTCTTTTGGTGCGTCGGATATAGCCTAATATTTCTGGATAAGAACTAAAAATCTCAGCACTGCCAGACAGGAATCAGAGCTAGAGCAACTGGCTTTCTTTGTGGGGACCTCTGGAGCCTCCTCTGGCCCTGAGCCACCTCTGAGCCTCATGTGCCCATGGAAACTTGCACTCGGAACTTTCTTTCTGTGCAGAATTTTTCTCCTGATGGAGCAGAGTAGTTCAGCTGCTTCACTCAGACTATCCCAAGGACATCCACTTGGAAGCCCCCAAAGCTGACCCTGTTTTTGTTTGAAGCATCATGAGTGGTGAGAACCAGGGCCAAACTCATCAGCCCCCTAAATCTGCGCATATTCCTACCCCCCTTCTCCGCCTTGTATTAGTTTAAAACTCCGGGTTTGTTCGGGCTTCGGAAATTACTTGTTGGTCCACAAAAGAGGGCAAGCATGTTTTCCCTGCTGTTTTAGGTACCCCCAAGTGCCTGGTACACAGTAGGTGCTCCAGTGAATATTTGTGCATGAATAAGTGAATCTTTCAAGTGTACTTTCTTACTCTAATGTATTCAGAAATTCTTTTTTGCTTCTAAGTAATTGTTTTCCTTGTAGCCCGTAATCACAGGCAGCATACAGTTAAAGCAATGCATAGCTCTCAATTTGCCAGATGTTTCACGATGTGTTAGTTATCCTGATAAAGCTATAAAAGCAAAACAAGTACGAAGGTGTGGCTTTTGGCTTGCTAGTCTGGAGATGTAAGGACCATTATTTTATCCATCTAACCGAGTAAGCCATACAACCCCTTTATCCACCTAACCAAGTAAGCCTTAAAACTCCAAGAGCGTGCCCCGGCACCGTGCAGAGGAAAGGACATGTGATTAGAAAGTCTCTTGGAACTTGGGTGGCACAGGGCAACAGACCTTCACTCCCTGGGATGCCAGCTCAATCAGTTGCATTTGAGGTTGGTTTCTTACCTTAATTATCACTCACTTCCCCTTTGGAATGGAGAGGCTCAGCGATGCTGTTATGCATGAGATGGTTTTGTGAAGAGGCACATAATTGCTTCTGAGTATTTTCATGAAGTGCTTCTCAGAGCAGCTTAATATCTTGCACTTACAGCATAGCAACAAGGAATGCAGCCGGGGAACAAAAACTGGTGACCTCTGTGGCACACACACAGTCACTGTGACTGTTGGAGGGGTTGACCAGGCGATGCTGTGGGCAGGGCCTGACTCAGTGATGTCAGGGAAGGTCTGTTTCTGCAGTGTCTGTGCTTGGCGGGGGGATGGGCAGGGGACAGCTGATGCAGGGACAGCACTGCAGCACACTGCAGCACAGCGCCGCCTCCATGAGCAGCAGACGGGCTTGCTCCAGGCTGACCACAGCTCGCAGAGGGCCTTTGGTGCTTTTCTGCCCCTTTGTCTGCCACGGGATGTTCATCTTGGCCACTTGGTTCCAGAGGGTTCCAGAGTGTCCTGGAACAAGTGAAATGGATAGTGGAAACTCATTTAACAGATGCAAGATTTGTAGACTTGCAGAAGAAATCATAGATCTGTGCCTGTGGAGGTTTAAAATTCAGTCACACCATTTCAGTGGGATGCATGAGGATCTCTGAGTAGTTTCCAAAAAAAACGGTTGTCTGGCTTAGCAGCATTAGGAACAAGCAGGGGAGTTTATCGTATCCCGCAGAGGGTAACTGCCATGCTGCTTTGAACTGGACTCTGAAGAGTAAACTTCTTAGGCTTCAGATGGAAGAGACCTGTGATCTGCAAGATTTCAGGTTTCTAACGGAGAGGCATGGCATCTGGAGTCAGGACACCAGCGCCACCTCTGTAGTCATCTGGCGGTTTCCACTGGTGGTTACAGGATGAGAATGGCCATGTAGAGGTTACCCCACACAGCGTGTATTCACAGATACTTCCCTGCTGGCAGTTGCTACTGAGTGAGACACTTCTCAGCAGGATCCTCTAAGTTTCCCTGTGTCTTTGCATCCGCAGGTGTGCAATTGGAAGAAAGACGTTATTTTTCATTTTAAAAAGAGGAAATATCTTTCTTGCATTGTTGTTCCTGGAAGAAGCTTATTAGAAAATAATATCAGGATTTTTTTTCTTTTTTTTTTGAGACAGAGTCTTGCTCTATTACCCAGGCTGGAGTGCAGTGGCACCATCTCAGCTGAATGTAACCTCTGCCTCCTGAGTCCAAGAGATTCTCCTGCATCAGCCTCCCAAGTAGCTTGGGACTACAGGCACGCACCACCACACCCGGCTAATTTTTTTTTTAATTTTTAGTAGAGGTGGGGTTTCACCTATTGGCCAGGCTGGTCTTGAACTCCTGACCTCAAGTGATCTGTCTTGGCCTCCCAACGTGCTGGGATTACAGGTGTGAGCCACCGTGCCCGGCCAGAAAATAATACCAAGATTCTTAAAAACCAGTCTTCCTCTTGCTTTTGTGTTTTAGTAAAGTAAAATCAGTTTGTTCCGAAGTGAGGATTGAACTGTTGACTGGGTATTGACTGTCTTCTGAGTAGAGCTAAGCTTCCTGGAACGTGAGAATATTGTCTCCCTCCGGTAAGACTGCCTCATGCCTGTGCATCTTATCTTCCCATCACTGTTCCTTCTTCTTGGCATATCTGGTTACACTCCCAGCCCTGGGACCAGACCAGGTGGGTTATCTCCGTGTGCCTGAATTTTCTCGTAACAACACCTACCTCACGTGATGGTGGTGAAGTGTAAATGAGTTCATGTCTGCAGGGTGATGCAGTGGTGAGCGGCGCGCAGGAAGCATTCTGTGAGTGCTAGCTCTGCCTGTTGTTTTCTTTCGCATGGAACCATCCTTCGCTTTGCTCACTAGTCTTGGAATTTATAGTCAGGATGGTAAGGAGTGCTGATAAAATATTTCTTTTCCAGATTATCCCTTTGCATAATTCAGATGACTGTATTTTGAAAATAGTTACATTCTCAACAGTTGGAGTAGAAATATGTGGTCACAGCTGTTCAGTCAGTTTCTACAGACTTTGACTTCATTTGTCTAAAGATGATGGGGATGGCAAGCACACTAACCTAGGATTCATCAAGTTCTGAGCACTTAGATACATTAACAGCCCTCTGAGGTGGGTACAACACCATGTTGCTACAACGGGTACAACTGCTGTTCCCATTTAGGGGGTGAGGAGACTGAGGCATCAAAGGTTTTGTTCTAAGTTCAGAGCTACACAGCTGTTAATTATACGGCAGAGCCAGGGCTTTGCACAGCTGTTCACTGTCCGGCTTCTGCACACCTACAGCTCCATCGTCTCCTGCTCTCCCTCCCTCTGTGCTCCAGCCATGTGGTCTTCTGCTTGCTGAATGCGACGCCTCAGGGCCTTTGCATGTGCTATTACCAGGCCCCAGTTCTTGGCATGTCTGGCTCCTTCTTATCATTCTGGTCAAACTCAAGTGTCACCTTTCCTGATTTGTCTAAATTCTGTCCCCACTCCATCCCTCCTTATCACATTATCCTGCCTTCTTCACTTACCAGGGTCTGGCTGTGCTGGAGCTGGGAGAGACCTCCCCTGTTTGCTGTTGAATATCTGTCACAGTGTTCCTTAAAATTTGTGAAGTGTGGCCAGGCACAGGGTCTCAGGCCTGTAATCCCAGCAGTTTGGGAGGCCGAGGCGGGCAGATCACTTGAGGTCAGGAGTTCAAGACCAGTCTGGCCAACATGGTGAAACCCCATCTCTACTAAAAATACAAAACAAATTAGCTGGCCATGGTGGCACGTGCCTGTAGCCCTAGCTACTCAGGAGGCTGAGCCAGGATCATCACTTGAACCCAGGAGGTGGAGGTTGCAGTGAGCCAAGATCATGCCACTGCATTCCAGCC